GGACCTTACTTCTATTCATTCAAATTTCAATCACCAAATTTCGTCCCTAATTTTTTTTGTTTCATTTTGACAGTCTGAAAAATACATTCCTTCCACATGCAAAACTGCTCTTGATGACATTTGGGCTTATTAAAGTATCCTACGAGCAAAAACTGCCGTATGCTTTATGAAAGTAAACAACCCCGCGTTCCTGAGCCAGCCTTTGAAGTTTTCCATTTTCCTTGCTGCTTTTGGAATACCTTTGAATTTACGTGTATTCTGAATACCTATTTTTTTTGAGAATGTCTTTGATATGCTTAACAGATGAACATTGATGATCTTGCCTTCAAAAATGGATTTTTCGTTGAAATGCACTGCTTATATGTGCGCGAGGTGTTTATTCAGAAATAGCGACGTTTAAATCAACGATTTATTAAATAAATTGTGGAGAAGAAAGTTTATCGGAAACAGAAAGTATATATTTTTTTCAAATTAAAGCCTGCTCATAGGACGAAAAAGTAGGTCAAAGGCTAAACGTTTTAATAAGTTACAGACGTTAAATAGTACTTTATATGTTCTCTCATTTTCTATTATTTATTATTCTAAGGGTACAACTATTACTTGATGTTGTGAAATAATAAAAAAAAACAGAGCGAGCAACTTCTATGTAAAATTTGTCCACAAAATAGTAAAGAACCTGACTGTCTCTCAAAAATGAGGACAACTCAAATTGTGTGTGATTTTTATCACGGTTTTTAACTTAGACACCACAAATACTCCCAATAAATGCTTCGTGATGCATTAAAGCTTTGGACTTTAGAAATAAAAAATAACAAAATTAAATTGTGCACAAGAACCCGAAAAATTGCACGGACGAACCTAAATTTAAGGTTGATGGGCTTTCATCGATTTTTATGTGACATTTTTTTAAACAAAACAGTTGAAATTTCTATGTAAAAATGGTTTCGATATGGTTTCTTATTGTTCTTTACTAGATTATGAAAAAAACTCTGAAGCCATTGGATGTTGAGTGGATAAGCTAAAAGTTATGAAACGGTTTATTATGTGCATCGGCATTATCGGTATGACATCCAAATAACTAATTCAATTAAAAGAAATTTTAAAATTGTTTTTATATTGACTCTGGGCATATAACGTGTCATTCACTGCCAGACGAATTGAAAAGTTAATGAATGGGCAATATAGCAATGGCATCCTAATAACTAATTCATATAAATAGTCATTAAAATTGTTTTTAGACTGACTCTGGGCATATAACATTTCATTTATCGGCAGTTTGAAAAGTTAATGAAATATAACCACTCTTCTTCAGGAGTTCCTAGGGTGACACCGGAAGAATTAGAATACGGCGACTTTGATGTGTTTGACGATCCGGATAAACCGTATGCATCAAGAAAAGCTCAGTACTCAAACAAAGCTTTCAACCGCCTTGCAGATCTGATGGAATTCAACACATTGTTTTGCAAAGATTTGATAATTGAGAATATCAGAAAATGTGTGAAGAGAAAAAATCAGATATAAGTAGAAGATGTCAGGCATAGATAGCTAAATCTAATTTGATCGACAATACTTTGAAAACTAATATTGATAAGATGGTTTGCAGTTAAATGTACATGTATTGGCTTCTTACTTTCCTTTTATTGATTGTTATATCATAACAAAAATGTGAATCATTTTGAAAGTTCGTTGTATGACAGAGAAATAAACCTTGAACTGTTCCAAATTGGTCACTAAAATTTCTAAGTGGTAATTGATATGTTTTATGAAATCGCCAATATTAATATGATAATATCCAAAAATAACCCCCTGTATAGTATAGATAAACTTATACCATATGGGGAGTATATCTTGAATATCAATGACCTGTATATTTTGGATATTATCGTTAATATTGATAAAATTATAAGTTCCTGAGGAAAAAAACAAGTAATATTCTAAGCTCTAGCATGCCTACCAAAGTTCATAATGAACAATGTCTTTCGTCCGCTCATTCATAAGTGATATACAATTCTGGTAAAAACAATTAACCATTGAAAAATTGATAAGATTATCTTGTCATCATATGTCTACTAGTTTATCTTCACTTGCTGCATTTCTTGCTTGGACGCCCTTTGATGCTTTGCATCAATGTTTTCTTGTTATCATATTGTATTACTTAGAAGACCGAGCTATCAGAAGTACATCAAATAAAAACAGAGTTCCTTATTTTAACGATGCATAAAATAAAAAGACGAGGACAACCTTACTAAAATGCATATTATACCACAAATCTGTATCACATTTTAACACTCCTCGAGATTTTGTAACTATAAACAAAGAAGAAAATCAACCGGTGTTAATCTGCCAAACAACGCTGGTTAAGGACTACATGTATACGCAGGTTATTTTTTCGCCCTCCGATAAGATTATTTACAGAGCCTTTACAAGGCAATAATCATAACGCATATTATTAGGAAAATATTTTTATGTTTTTTGTTGTTGTTTTTTTTTTTTTTTTCATAATATACTGTATGTGTATTTAAATTCGCGGAAGCAAATTTTCGCGGAAAGGTCCACTTTGGGGGTCTATACAAATATTCGCGCTATTTTGAATTCGCGGAGGTGACTGCCGAAAATCATAAATTCGCGTAGACCACTCAGGTTTAAAAAAAGGAAAATTACTGTAATCATCGTGGGAGTTCACAGTTATTTTCAATACCAGGTGTCAAACAATACTCTATTGTACAGAAAAAAGACATTGTCTAGCGGACAGATTATAGCAAACAAAAGAATGCCCGTTAACGTGCATAATTTTTCACAGTTTGCGTCATAAACGTCTTGACATCTGATCAGATCATGTTTTGGTTTTTCTGAACAAACAATTAAAAAACACAAACATAAACGATTTTAAATGATGAATAACTTGGAAAACAAAACACAATTACTCAGTAAAGATTTAAATAAAAAGTGTGAAAGCATATCACACACTGATATACATTGTTCTATAGAAGCGCGAAAATATGACTATTAAGAAATTATTGGTGTAGAAATATTCGCGCTAAACATGAATTCGCGGATCGAATGTCACCGCGAAGATCGCGAAAATTTGAAGCCCGCGAATATTTCTACACATACAGTAATTATTCGAAATACACCTCACATACACTAACGCTACAGGTTTTTAATATCAATACCAGTTATTTATTTTTGTATTTAAGGAAACTCTTCGCCAATTCGTAAGTAGCATATTGAAGTCATTCAAAGTATGCAACTCATTCATAAAGGCACCAGAATGAAGTCATTTTAAACTGGCATGGTAGGGTTTGAAGAATGATTAATCGAACACTAATTTAAAACAGAATGCAATCCAGTCTGACACGTAAGTTTTAACTATTGAAAGTCTTAAATAATAATGTCGATCATTTGTTTATTATTTTTCTTGTTTAACAATTTTACATCTACGCGACAGTTGTCGTCCGATGGTGCGAAATAGAAAAGCGTAATAAGAAAATCAGCAACGAAAGTAATCTCCACTTGTAAAAAATGCGTTGGTGAGACCCCTTATTTTGTTTTATAATAGCCGGAGTTAAATAGGTACCTACCTACCTACCTACGTAGGTATATGTAGGTAGGTAGGTAGGTAAACATATAGCAATATCAGTTTACAGAAAACAGCAATTCAGAAATCAATATTTACCATATTTCTAGAAGCATACTCATATTTAGGGTAGATAGATGAATACATAACCTAATTGACAAATAAATAATTATTGACTGATTGAATAAATCATAAAAATGTATCACAATGTCAGCTCTGTGTTTACAGCTTTAAAGAATTTGTCAGAATGCTTGTAATTATTCTGAAGAGTACAGATAATAATTATCAGTCTTGCTTTTGATATTATTGGTAAATATTCATCCAAAAATATTAAGAAAGCATTAAAATTTCGTTCTATGTGTGAGACAATCTTGTTCGAAACGAAAAATTAACAAAAGCCCTCAACTAGAAATACATTTTCTATTGTACTTTGTTTCATATTATTAAACCTGATTCAATTTGATTAACGATTCCAATGTTATACAATACTTTCCGGATAGTTTAATGTTTAATTGTATTGATATCAAAACTCATCTTGCCGAAAACATACAGACTCGAAATACAAGATCAGAAATATCTGTGTTAAATAGCCGATAAACACCGATGAAACCAGTTGTATTTTTTAATCAAATAAAATAATATTTCGATATTACTTTGTTATTTTGTTTGTTTGTTTGAATTTTTTTCTTTTTCTTTTATATCTTGCGACGACTTCAGTTTTTCATGAACAACAATTATAGTTTTTCTTTGTTGTAAAATTAGATAAAAAGGTTGTTTTTTTGTTGTTGTTGTTTTTTTTTTTTTTTTTTTTTTGTTGGGTTTTTTTTTTGAAAATAAAAAAATATCCGCTTAATATTCTTCCTCTATTTAGTGACCTTTTTAACATATAACGACTTCAAATTAATGCTATGTGCGTAATGATGCAAGTAGTACTAAAATATATTTTAAATGCCACAGACAGTATCTTTGTGTTTATTTACTAATCAATTCATCTTCAAGTTTTCGGTTATTTATTAGAAGAAACAAAAGTAAAAAAGATAGAATCCCTTAAGAAGGCCAAAAATGGCAAAACTGAAAATGTTTAAGTTAACCTGTCAATGGAGTGGTGATGGAAGTGTTGGTATTTTACCCTCCAGATTGCGACAATAAATCACTTTGAATTTACCAGAGCATACTTTAGCCACCACATCGTTCCTGGGTAGGTTGTCAAGCAGTTCACCAGTATAAGTTGCCTTCACTTTTGCAAGTAACTGATTCACAGGCCAACGCTCTATTTATTGAGCTAACCTTTGTACTTACCCTAGCGTGACACTTCATTATATATGAGAGTTACATTAGATCCATACTGTTACAAGAGTTTTCGTTTATCAGATTATTGACTGGGATTTCGACTTTGTATGCATTTAGTATACTCATAGGTTTAGTAAATATTATTCATTTTATTCAGTAAATGGTTGTATTGACTAAGCAATCCATACCATGAAACACATTGCTAGCATATCAACAAAAATAAGGAACATATTGGTGTGTACTTCATTGAATTGGCGACTGCAGCATATAGTTCAAGCACTGAAGCATAATGCTTATTCAACGACTTTATGAAATCTAATTATTTTTATTTTAAATTAAGGTAAAGACAATGTATATATCAGTTATATCGCATCAGTTGCACATTTCTTTCAATGACTACGCTTTTGTAGTTATGTTTGACAAACACCCACCATCAACCACATGCGCTTGTCCAGTTACCATTGTAGAAAGGTCACTCAAGAGGTACAGGATGGGGTTAACTATTTCATGCAGTTCTAACAATCGACTTATTGATGATCTAGAAGTTATAATTTCATCCACATGAATTCCTTTGTCGATAACTTCTCGAATCATCGGTGTCATCACAAGTGATGGATTCACAGAGTTTACACGTATACCATGTGGACCCAATTCCAACGCAAATTGTTTCGAAACCATATCCAGTGCAGCCTTTGACATGTGGTATGGCAATCCTTTTGGAAATGCACCAACACTTCCAATACTTGAAACATTTACAATTGAACCTTTAACTTTTGCTTCAATCATTTTCTTTGCAACAATTTGGGAACAATTTATTGCACTCATAAGATTTGTATCCAGAACTTTATAGATGTATTCCCTGGGACAATCAACGGCGGCGTACTCATGTCCACTTATACCGGCATTATTGACTAAACCGTCTAACACTTCTAGCTTTTCTAACTTTGTCTTCGTTTCTTCCCATTCACATAAGTCCGCAACTATTGAAGTTATGTTTTGATTATCATCCACTAACGAGTCAAGGTCAGATTTTGTCCTACTCAAAACATAAACTTTACATCCGCATTGGCTTAATTTTTCAGCAACGGCGCGACCTATTCCTTTTCCGGCCCCTGTAACTAACACTTTCTTTCCACTAAAATCAAATGACATCTTGCAGAAAACGAAAAGTTTTGTTTTTAATACAAAACCGAACAAAAATCTCTATTCAAGGACATATAAATATGTTAATTTGGTACACACTGTACCGTGACGATTATATTTTACACTTAGATTGTGTTTGTTGTCAATAAACCGATTTCAGTATTAGGTTGTTAAACCAACTCTAGTTAATTAAGATGGTTTGCAATGTCTATAACTAAGGTTTAAAAGTGGTTTGCCATCATAGCAAAACTTGTATACGGCTTTTTAAGATGAATATTAATCAGACACGAGTCGTTATTTTTAACTTTAAGAAGTCACTAACGCTAAAATAAGTTTAGTGCTTGTATTTTATGCTCATCATCATGAAAAAAGTAGAAGTCATGGTTATGTAGAGACTGTCTACCGTGCATACATCATTGATGATTTCAAAGATATTCGAATAAACGGAGTTTTACATGAGAAATACATAGAGGCATACTGTCACAAGAGTTGTCATTCTTTATCAGGTTATTTATTGCGTCGCAATCAATATTTCTTATACACTTACCGGTATTTCACAAGTATTCAATTAGTATACATGTACTCATAGTTATTGTTAACATGAATCATGTTATTGAATGAATATTTGTATTGACTGAACTGTCCATACAATGCAACACATTACAACCATATCAACAAAAATAAGGACACTTCATTGGATCGTAGGACTCAAGGAATTAGTTCAGACTAAATGTCCCAGTCTTTTCTGTGTTACTCGTATTAATAAAAGTGACAATAAGTATAAATATTATACCGCTAAATATGAAGTTTCAATTGCTATATTATATCATGAATAAAATATAACACTACAGTACCTAAATTTTGAGGAAGAGTAAATTGGTAAATTGAAGAAAAGTCTATGCTACACAACGAACACTTTTCAAAAATTATTATAACAATGATATTATACATCGTATATTGTCTGGCTTCATAAAGACAGAAACTATGATAAAAAGGCCAAGTTTCTTATAGAAATAAAAGAAATATCTTAATAATTGAGACAGCGTTTACAGTTATTTTTTTTGTGTTTATCAAGAATGTGATTACATTATCCGAATCGATTTTTACCATCTCGCTTTAATGTTAAAAGTCCAGTTTCTTTTTTAAAATAGCATATACATGTATATGTATATACACAAGTTCTACAGATATTTCGGCGTGGCTGGTGTTTGTTACAATACAACTCATTCTCAAATAAAGTATATAGACATGAAAATGACCTTAAGCTTAAGAAAAAATAGTAAACCAACGATTTCTTATGAACGGCATTGATTAAGTGGAAACAACAGAAATGGAAATAATAAGCAAATAAGGCTACTTATTAAGTATCTATAAAGATGAAGATTGCATATAACCGTAAAAATATAAAAAAAATTCAGGCTCAAATTTACTCTCCTGTGTTGGCCACTATCATTTCGAGGTGGCATTATCTAAATACTCGGTGTGGTAAATGACATCTTCCTCTATTGCCGCTTTTTTACAAGTTCACTTGAAATTGTAGTAAGCAAGTCTACACCGCCTTTAATATCAAATATCGTTATTGTTATTGTTGTAGATATGAGTAGTGTGTGAATTTGTACTTGGATGCAACACAAATGATAAAATATTTAATTTTAAACTATCCTTCGGGTCTTGTTTAGCTTGTGTTCTAGTTACTCATCCAAATAAAATATATAAATATTACAGTCATACCTTAGAATTTACATTTATCCTGAATACGTATTTTTTCTTTGATATTGTCTTTGATGTGCCAAACAGATATACAGTACATTGATGATCTTACACTCAAGTTGGATTGTATTGTTTTCGTTGAAATGCACTGCTAATATGTGCGTGTGGTATTTATCCGATGGAAGCGACGTTTAAATGAACGCTTTATTAAGAAGACAGTTAATGTCCTGTGAACGTTGCCTTTGCCTTGTTGTTCTTTATTCTCGTTTTAATGAGAAACAGAAAGTATATAATTTTTTCAAATTAAAGCCTCCTCATAGGACGAAAAAGTAGGTCAAAGGCTAAACGTTTTAGTTAGATACAGTCGTTCAATAGTACTTTATATGTTCTCTCATTTTCTATTATTCATTATTCTTAGCGTACAACTATAATTTGATGTTGTGAAATTACCAACAAGCTAGAGACAACAGTCAATAAAAAAGAACAGAGCGAGCAACTTCAAACTTTTTTTAAAAGCTTACTTTGTTAATATATTGTACTTTACAAATACCCACATTATAAAGAATAATCATCAATATCAATAATAATTCTATGCAATAAAACATTAATACGAATTGGAAATGCATTGTAGTATTTAAGAAATGTAGAAACTAAATGCTTAGAACTGTTATTTCTGATATATTCGTTGCTTTTACTGTTCTTTGACCTAATTTTATAAATTTTCCATACACTGTTGAGAATAACCTGGGGACGTGAAATCGTTCGTACGTGACTTTATACCCGTGACAATTGCATCTCATAAATTCTACAATTAACGGATTTTTGACATAGAATTATTGAATGCCTCGAGAAACATTGATTTTAGAATTCACCATCTATATATAACAGTCATGTGATGTATACAAGAAACTATTTAATGTAACTTCATTAGAACTTGACAAAACAAGACAGGGGCACAATACATGTAATTAAAAAGTTTTAATACTTTAAAAACTTTCAAGACGGAGTGATAGTATGAATATCAGCAAAATACTAATTATCAAAATAAAATAACATGAAACATCGGTAAAAAAACATGAATGAAGCGTGCGTTCGTGCGTGCGTGCTTAATGAGGATACATCCGCCCTTTCTGGTAGTGAGGCATGAAGTATGTACAATAGCACTACGGCTACAAAGCTTAGAATAGAAGTGTAGACGAAGCTAAAACAATGAAGAAAATAATAGTAATTTTGTAGGAGTGAGTGAAATGTAGTTAATATGTCAAAATCACCACATGCTGCAATAGCATTTAAAAACTCATCGGACTTTAGTTTACAGTTTCTTGAGCCCACAACGACATGTTCTTAAATCGTTCCACTTTTTTATCGTGCCCAGCAATCCAATTGTTATGCACTATTACAACTCGTGAGCGTTCCGCTTTAGAAAACTCCTCAAAATATAGTTTTCCTGACGGAAACATTGTGCTATCTAATGACTTTATGTTTACAGATGATTTCCTAACAACCCAATTAAACGTTGGTTGGTTCACAACCTCCTTTTCGCTCAATGCGTCTTTCCATTTTCGAATCACTTCATTTGTAGTTTGGCTATTGAGAATGGCTAAAAAGCCCGTACAAAGATTATGTTTGGAATCCAACTGACCCAACATATCAAAGTCTCCCTCTAAATGAAACAAGGGATTTTTTAACCAAACACTGTCAATATCTGCATAAATCAAGTTGACTCCTCTTCTCAGAAACCACAAAATGTAAGTTGGTCGGGCCGACACCATTTTGTTATACAAAGAAGAATCGTATTCAACGGATTTGTTTATAGATATAATTTCACTTCTCATGACATTAATAGCATTATCTTTTAGTTCAACAAGTCTCTTAAACACAACAGCATCTTCTGCGATCACATACAAAGGGTTAGATATATTTAGTTTCTTGAAATACCAACGCCAGTTCAAGAACATGTCAAAAAAGCCGTTGTTCACAGTAACGAGTAAAGTCCAGTTCTTGCGTAGATACGTACATTCCTGAACAGTTTGTTGTCCATTATAATACTCAAGGCATTCCGTGTTAGCATTACAGAAAACATCGTTAACAATATAATCATTATCATTAAACCGAATAATTATGTAACACATAGACAGAAAAATGAATACAACAACTATTACATTAAATTGAGAATGCACAGTCCTGCTCCTTAACAGCATTTTAGTTCATTTATCCTATAAATGTTATGTTTGTTATACTTTGATTGCCTTCAGTGATGTTTTGACACGGTTTTGAACAAACATTTATAAGAAAATGCCGACACTAGTGAATGAGTTACATGCTATGTTACAATTCCCCGACTGAAAATCAATTCTTTCATACTATCTGGATCAATATATATCTGATGCATGTCTGATGCCATTTTGAATCTAATGTCTCTTGGGTAGATCAACATTTAATGTCTTGTTTCAATCATTACCACATCAATGGCTATATCAACATCTATAAGCTTATAATGAGCAATAAGTTATCATGAGCAATTAATTGTCATCTTTTTATGTGAGATTTGTGTAATATCCATCCGAACAACCCATTACAAAAATTCATTAAAAATGTCATTGGAATCATCTGGATAGTCATTACAGAACTAACAGTGATGTTAAAAAATACAAAAGAGTTTGGTCATAAAGGAGCAAGGGATAAAGACGCTTAGGTAGCAAACGCCCGCCGCTTTTTTTTCCGCTCCACCCTTAGCCCCACTACCCGTAAACATCAAAGGTGTTTATTTCATTTGCGTATTTGTACATGTTGGATCAAAGTCTCCAACTAAACACAAGAATGGATTTCCCATATACATGTATAGCAGCGGAAATTCACATATATTTTTATGTATGTTATGTATATTTTATATACTTCCATATATTATACGTAAAAAGCTGATTTTTTAAAAAAAAAATTTAGTGATAATAATGTAATACAAAGAACTTCTCCCATACAGCATCTGCTTCAAAGTGTCGGATGCTTAAAAATCAATACAAACTATAGTCAAATTGTCACTGATCCGTTTCGTTCGTGTTAAATATTTAATTAAAACAGAGTCAAATGACTGATAAAGATCTGAAATCAAATCATAAATGAGAGGTCACGCTCGATTGCAAAGATGTCAATCATTTTACTCAATTATTGAAAGTGTGTATCAATAATGCTGTTTTGAATTTAACGTTCACCAGAGAAGACACGACCTGTTAACACCAACACCAGATGCTACGCGCCAGTACCATTGCATGCATAATTTACTTTTTATTATGACTTCACAATATGCGTGGGCCTGGAACCATCTTATATTGATCTTAATATAGAGCATCGGTCAAAAATATATGTGAATTTCCGCTGCTCCAGATGTGAACTTAAGGAGAAAACAGGGCAATCACAGGGTAAGTTTTCGACGTTTAAAACATTTATATGAAATGCAAAGCTTTTTTTTAGATCTTGTTTATCATATTTTCCGTCATGGCAGAGACGTTATGTATTTATATGTCTCTGGTCATGGGTTCTGGTATGCCCAAAATATGCATTGCGTATGAATTTAAGAATTGTCGCTAAGCGGACTCCAAATACAGTTTTTAAAAAAAATCTTACAACCAAACGATGCTTAACATTCAAACAAACCCTTATTGAAACATGTATTGAGATTGCCTCAAAATAAAGGAATTGCTAGTCAAAATTCCATCTGAGCTTCAATTCATTGCATAGATTTACAGTACTCACGACGAAAAGAATATCTCGACGAAAACAGAATAAAAATCCCAACAAAAATGGGTTTAATATATAGGAAAGCCAGGAGGGAAAATCACATTTCGATTGTCTTTTTTTTAAAAAAAGCTTTGAATTTCATATCAATGTGTAAAATGTTGAAAACTTAACCTGTGATTGACCTATCTTCTTCTTCACATATCTCCTTCACACATCTGGAGCAGCGAAATTCACATATATTTTTTACCGATGCTTAATTTTGAGATTCATATTGGTTTCCACCCCCGTGATATGCATTCAAACAGATAAAATACTGATGACGTTACGAAGGATGTACATGACGCCATGACGTCACAATGATGTCGCTTAATGTTGTTTCTAAAGAAGAGTATTCTAATTTAAACAAGAGTTGTAGAGCATGAAATTATGATAAGTGTTTGGGATTAATGTATTGTTTCAGGCAATAGGTTCAAATTTATAAAAAAAAAGATATACAGTAATAAATTTGGAAATGAGAAATCAAGAAGAAAGACAAAGCCCCTGCTATTCTCAAGGGTACTATAAATTGCCTTTTTAAATGTCAAAACTGAAGACTTAACAAACATTGCCGTTGTAATCATAAGGTATACCAGGGGCAATGTCTGTATGCACACAGTAAGTATTGTGTTACTTGGTACAGGATATTATATCGCTCATTTTGGAAAGTATATTTAAAGCACCCAAACTATGTAACAAAAATTTAGTTTAAAATGAACATCAACTCTATATTTACTCTGACACTGGTCCACTTTATTTTCATTCCAGCACATGTTTTCAATTTATTAATTGTAATAGTGATAATTTTATGATGTTTAAGTGTCTGTAAAACACACATTATGTGTGATACGTTTTCTCTGTGACTGTGAGTTTGCCTGTGTTTTCTTTCTTTCTTTGTTGTTGTTGTTGTTGTGTGTGTTGTTGTTTTTTACTTTTTTCTTCTTCTTTTCTCTTTTTATTTTATTTATTTATTTATTTATTTATTTATTTATTTATTTATTTATTTATTTATTTATTTATTTATTTATTTTATTTTACTTTGAGAGAGGAGGGTAGTTTGTTTCTTTCTGGCTGGTTTTTTTTTTGTGGGGATGGGGCTGCGTGCGTGCGTTAAAGGTGCACCATGTCTGAGCAGCAGTAATTTTTTTTTTTGCTTCTTAAAAAGGGGAAACATGAGTTTTAAAAAATTTATTTTCAGGTTTAAGAGCATGTGTTACATGTTTATGTTACCTGAAGAAAGGAGTCCTAAATGTGAAATTATTTCTCACAAAATTAGCAAAATCTAAGTAGTATTTTGGCGTCCATACACAAAACTAAGTTACTATAACTGTTCTTACTGCCAAAACGGAACAGATGAAAAAATGGTTCAGGTAACTAATCAATGAGAAACGTTTTGGAAACATTTATAAAGGGCTTTTGAGAAATAAAAAACATTCTCTTGCGCATAATAGGCCTTTAAAGCTTTCAATTGTAATAATTAATTTTTGTTTAAGGAATAAATATTTATATTTATTCTGGGGCATAGTATAACGTTATACTATGTCCCAGATCTATTCATTCTTTCTTTAAAAACTATGTACAGTGTATTATATACGGTATCAGAAATATATATTTAATTGAAATGAGCTTGTTGTTTACTTTTATGTTACGACTTAGTCGTTTTACTAACTACAAAAATAATTTAGTAGTTCACAATTCATCCATGTCATCAATTGTCAATTGTAATCTACAAACATTAAAAGTTAAAATATCAATATAGATACAACGTGAAAGTATAAAGCTGAGGACGAAAGCGACAATTCCGCTATTCGTCCATAACAAAACGTGTCCATTCACTGCGAAACTGGTTTGTTTGCTTGGAGAAGTCAAACATGGAGATTTAGACAAAATTTGACATGTTTGACCCTGTTTATCATAAATTATACAGCCGAAATGGTGCTAAATATTAATATTTCACAAAATGGAGTTTAGTTTCAACGTAAATAACCTACTTGCCGACTCGATCACAAAGTTAGACTGCAACATAACACCAGCTAGAAGGAATGCAGAGGGGTAAAATAATCATGATAATTTTAGTAAAAATTGCCTGTTTTGTAGAAAATTAGATCTGTTTGACTTAGAGTATAAATTGTTGTATGAATTTAATGTATAAAATTATTGCTGATTTTTGCAATACACCGTAAACCATTGGTCACAAGCTGTTTTACGAGAACTAAATATAATCATTTTTGTGCCTCATGGGCTCTAGCTCTTATGGTTTTGATAATGGTTTTGGTACTTGCCTGGAAAACTTTTTATCTCAGAACAAACATAAACTGATCAAGAGAATTACAACTATTCGTTATCTTTCAGATACAGCCAAAATGAGTTGCGGTCACAATTACTGCTTGTTATTGACAGAATGGGAGAAGCATCCTCAAAGGTAATTTTACAAACCTGAAAAATTCTCAGGCACTGACATGAATAACTATACATGCCATGATATCCGTTTACGTCCAGGATTTTCATTGAAATTAGCCAACCATCGCATAGAAGATTTTTCAGTTTGAAAATAGAAATTTGGAACTTATTTGCAGCGAAAAAGATTCAATTTTATCATAATTTATGCAATTATATGCAAGTTGGTTATTCTAAGATGTTGATATCAGATAGATTTCCCCAGATAGTTTAGTAATACACAAGAGCTGTCAACAACTGTCTGCATAAATGAATCCATCTACATTTAACTAGCAGTTTGTCAATTACCCACATCGGCAAAGTCTTTAAAAGTCTTGATAAGACCGCCCTTTACTGATGATTGACACTAATAGTGCACCAAATTATGTGTAGCACCTGTCAATTACTTGTCTCTAGGATCAGTTCATTTAGAAGAGAGAGGTGTGAAATTAAATCTTGTTGACAAATTCTGATTTAAGGTGACTTTTCATGAGAAATGTCACTGTGACTGATAGAAAAGTACTTTTAATTTTTGGTCCAAACACGAATACATATACATTGATCATGGCGTATGTCTGTGATATAAATCGTAGCAACTTTTCTGAGATAATTATCACAGTGACTGACTAGTGAATGTCCTCTGTCATAAAGCTTCCACAATGATGTTTCTGGCTTCCAAAACTTTTTAAGCCCGCTTTTTTAAACATTTTTTCTTTGTCTGATGTGGCAGTGTCACGCTGTGTTAAAACAAGTACGCTGAATACCTTACACTACCACAGTCATAAAACACTACCACAGTTATATAACATAGCATATGCTTAACTGTATCATAATATTTGCAAGTTGTTTACAATTTTGTATTCTTTTCAGAATTAGTTGGGTATATATAAAAACATATGTTTCAGATTCTAATGCTATATAATTTTTCTTTCAGGCTCAAGGATTGTATACTATAATAACGACTGGAAGGAAATTACAACTCTCAGACCATATACTGTATGTTATGAAAGATGCCTCAGGGCATGGGTAAGTGAAATCATTACCTTTTAACTTCTACATTTTTCTTTAAGTCAACATATAGACAGTAGAGTAACAATAGCAACAATGACAAACAACAAACAATAACAGAAATGAATGTTTAGTTATTTAGATTGGTTATGAGCATTATCAATACTTTATTGCATGATCATTGAATTTTGGTTAAATTTTTTGAAGATGCCCTGGTCCCAAGCTTTTAACCATTTATGCCTCAATATGAAATATACAGAGAATGTTAAAATTCTAAACAGGAACTTCCTTATTGTAGTGGGTTTTTAATATTACCTTTAAATTTGTTCAACATTTGATATTTGCTCATTGAATTTCAATCATAATACATAATAAGCAAGGCATGATTGAAATTTTCCATTGGATAGTGGATACAGGCATATTATAACAATGAGTGTTCTATAAAGTTACATGTGCATACCTATGCATAGGAAGCCACTTATGGTGTTTTTTCACACAATAAAGTTCTTATACTTGCGGTATCAAAAAAGCCATTGTGGCCTCGGGCATTGAAATAAAGTAAAAGAAGCAAGTGTAAAACATGTAGTAAACTTCATTTTTGTCAAGATTTAAGAGCAACTGATAAATAATGTAAAACTGCGTATTTTCATTTCAGGGGACGTGGAACAGTTATAGGAATATTAAAGATAGGTCATAAGAAATTATTTGTTTATACAAATCATGGACATGTTAACGAGATGGAACCATTGTGTGTCCTTGACTTCTATGTTCACGAGTCAAGACAACGAATGGGATGTGGCCGCAAGTTGTTTGATTACATGTTAGCGGTAAGTCATTCTGTATCACTTGTATACTCATTAAAGCCTTTTTCCATACATGATAGTTTAATTGGACTTACCAATCTTGCAATCAAGACTAACCCTTTCATCATTTTTTAAAGAAAATTTTAAAATATGTACTGAGCGAATAGTGAACAGTGCAGGTCATGATCAGACGTAACAGATTTGTTCTTGGTCTACACTGGTAGCAAGACTCAGTCACTGCATGCAGGTAGATTTATACAATGACATGTTTATAAGCTTTGATTTGAGTATTGACTTTGGATATTTCTTGAGCTAGTTTGGCTAGTGATTATTTTCCCTGTTATATTATATAATATTAAGCTTTTTATGCCCCCACAAAGTGGGGAGCATATAGCGTTGCACTTGTTCCTACCTCTGTCCGTCCGTACGTCTGTCTGTACGTCCCGAAATCTTGTGAACGCAACTCCTCTTAAACCGGATGGCAGATTTTGCTTAAACTTCCAGGGATCAACAACCTTAATGTGTAGATGGTAGTAAAGGAAGGAATTTTTGCTGCGACCAAATTTAAAAGAATTATGGCCCTTTGTTTATTTTTTCACTATATACTATATAGAAATTTTGTGAACGCAACTCCTCTTAAAGTGGATGGCAGATTTTAATAAAAAGTTCCACATAAAAATCTTACAGACAGATGTCCATGCTCTTGTTTACGAGCACATCTGCACAGTGGTGGCATGCGTGTCCTTTGGACACAGTTCTAGTTTTCTTTTACATTATGTGGAATGTGTTTTCATTTTTTAAGTTAATAAGTAATAAAGAACAAAATAGTTTGAGCTTGTTGAAATCCACTAGTACATAATCTTGCATCGTTCATCTTTGACCTGTAAAATTAAAGAACCAGTACTTCAAAAATATTCTGATTATAACGATTTGTTCATTATTTCAGGATATGGGAGTGAAAGCATGTCATCTGGCTATAGACAAACCTTCATTTAAGTTTAGTCAGTTTCTAAACAAACATTATAATCTACGTGCAGAAATACCGCAAGTCAATAATTTTGTTGTGTTCGAGGGGTTCTTCAGCAATAGAACAGGTGAGATATATAGAGGATATTGAATGAGATAAATAGAGGATATTGAGTGAGATAAATAGAGGATATTGAGTGAGATAAATAGAGGATATTGAATGAGATAAATTGAGGATATTGAATGAGATAAGTAGAGGATATTGAATGAGATAAATAGAGGATATTGAATTAGAAATACCGCAAGTCAATAATTTTGTTGTGTTCGAGGGGTTCTTCAGCAATAGAACAGGTGAGATATATGGAGGATATTGAATGAGATAAATAGAGGATATTGAGTGAGATAAATAGAGAATATTGAGTGAGATAAATAGAGGATATTGAGGGAGATAAATTGAGGATATTGAATGAGATAAGTAGAGGATATTGAATGAGATAAATAGAGGATATTGAATGAGATAAATAGAGGATATTGAGTGAGATGAATAGATTTAAGTCTTAATATTACAAGTATCAAATGTGTATTGCATTGTATAAAATTTAGAAGCTGTACATGTACATTTATTATTCATAAATAGATATGTGATCCATACTTTTTTATTTATCAATTATTGTTCTATTTTTAGATACAAGTGTAAGTAAAAGAAATGGTAGACCTCCAGTTCATCCAAGTCGGCACAGAGGTAGGTCATGTCGTTGATATAAGTAATGATAAGCTCCATCTTTTATAACATAATAGTAAAATGAGCCGCGCCATGACAAAAGCAACATAATGCGTTTGCAAACAGCATGGATCCAGACCAGCCTGCGCATCCGTGAAGTCTGATCAGGGTCCATGCTGTTCACTGTCAGTTTCTCTACTAGTAATAGGGTTTGTAAGCGAACAGCATGGATCCTGATCAGATTGTGCAGGCAGATCTGGATCCTTGCTGGTCGCAAACACACTATGTTGGTTTTGTCATGGCGCAGCTCATATTATTATTATATGATGTATAAGGTACACATGTACATGGAAGCATGATACTATGATGGCATGACTCATTATGGAGGAATGATTTGTTGTAACAATGTTTCTTGTGGACTTACCAGTACATTTGTAAATGTTTTTTCAACAGTTATGATAATCATGTCAGTATATGTATGCAATTCATTAAATCAGCAATGGTTTATCTGTTACTTATTTTTCAAATTCTGCACATCAATATATTTTACACTGCTTAATAATTATAGATGTAATGTGTATTTTCTATCTGCTGCAGCCATTATGAGTGAGTATTGAATATGATATAATGTAATCTGGTCAGTTACCTATAATGGTGATTTTTCATACACACACTTACATAGACATGATTCCCTCAGTCTTTCATTTTGAAAAATACTGAATATTTCTGAAAGGGGGATAAAAACATTCATTTTTAGTGCTCTTGTTAGAAAAATATCCATTGATTTTTTTTTTAAATAGAGCAGGCATCCTAGATTTTTTTTAACAAACAGAAAAATGAATGTGATTTATTTTTCTATTTTTTAAACCTAGATCAAAATTATTACATTTAATTGTTTTTGCTTTAAATAAATGTTTTCCTCAAAGTTTTTAGAAAAAAAGCTTTCTATTCCTTGATGGTAGACAGATGATAATTAGATGAGTGTGCGTTTCGAGTTAAATTTTTTGTTATTATTATTTAACTGTTTTACATGGAAATTTTTGTCCTAAGATTAACTGTTTTACATGGAAATTTTTGTCCTAAGATAAACTGTTTACATGGAAAGTTTTGTCCTAAGATTAACTGTTTTACATGGAAAGTTTTGTCCTAAGATTAACTGTTTTACATGGAAATTTTTGTCCTAAGATAAACTGTTTACATGGAAAGTTTTGTCCTAAGATTAACTGTTTTACATGGAAAGTTTTGTCCTAAGATTAACTGTTTTACATGGAAAATTTTGTCCTAAGACCAGTTAATGTTGTGCTGCACCAATTATATTATGCATGTTGTATGTCTGCCAATATCAGTTATTTTTGTGATGGTCATATATATATATTTTATAGCCGTCATTCAATTTTGCATAAATTGTTTTTGCTTATCTACCTCATTTTTGTTTCATAGATTACAATTTTCGTGCTGTATTTGTTATAAAGTATCAAATAGATCTTCATGAATTTATATAAAAATTGTTACAATTGGAAATTGAAATGTCTTTTGCTTGATCATAATCTCTCAGGAATTTTCCTATTTATTTGGTTTTCTTTTTATCTCATTTGTATCTAGAAATTTGTTCATATTTATTTCATTATGACAAATAAGTATTGTTCTTCACTAATTTAGTGAATGCATCAGACCCAGCATCAAATGCTGGCCAGGGTAAGAAAACAAACACAAGAGCACAATTACATGCTTGATATTTCTTAAAATTGTTTGTCATATTAAATACATGTATGTTTGTTTAGATAGTAAAAAGGGGGTGTAGTTTTAGTTGGTCTTTTTTGGTATACCAAGGTTCGTACAGTCTTAAAAAGTGCTTAAATTTGAGTCCCTTTCTGTAAAAGTGCTTGAAAATGTAAAAAAGTGCTTAAAAGTCCTTGAATTTGCTTACTGTCTTGAAAAGTGCTTAAAAAGTGCTTAAATTTGCTGGAAATATGCTTGAAAATGATTGAATGACATAGTGTCAATAAAAATCAACAGTAAACAAAATCAAAAGAATGATCCAATTAAGGATCAAAATCAATGAAATGTTTGCTCAACATAACAGTAAGTCAGGACAAATTATAGTTGTTTTGAACTAATCTGTATTTGATGCGCCCTTTTTTGTTCTATAAAATCCTTAAAATTATTGCCAGAAAATGTGCATTCAACATAAAATGGCAAATAAACTATACTTCTTACATTGAAGATTGTATCGATGTATGTGTAACAAATGTGCTTGAAAAATGGGACAAACGTGCTTAAATAGTGCTTAAAAAGTCCTTGAATTTTGGCATTGGATGTCTGTATGAACCCTGTATACAAATGTGACAATGCAGTTATTGCTATAGATTAAGATATTATTAAAGCTGGCAATCTCCTAAGGATAGTGCACAGTCAATTTCCAGTACTGTCTAATATGATGATACACATTATACTTCTTAGATGTGGAAGACTAATGTATACTCTGTTTTTAGAGTCTATGGTCTGTTCCAAGAAATAAATTCATATCTATAAAAAGAGATACAGTCTGGAACTCGGCCCCCCATCTAATCCTCACAAAGTTCAAACTTATACTGAGTTACAACTTAGTGTATACCAACAATTACAGTTTGAACTTTGTGTATTTTGTATACCAACAATAACCATAGTGTGTTGATCACTCCATTGTGAACAGTACTGCAGCCTGAAGCTATAGCGGTACAAATTGTTTTTTGTACACTATGATTAGATGGGAAAAACATGACTAGTGTTACAGATGTTCAGTATTTTTAATCTTAACATAGATTCATCTTGCAGGTTTGGATATTCTAGCCTGGTGACTCAGGTAGATCAATAATTCAATGAATCATTAGTATCTGAGATTAATCTTGCCAAAGTATTGAATTAGTAATTAGAATTTTAATGGATACAACATTTTGCGTGCATAAAACTTCATTTATTGTATGAATAACTTTTGGCGGGCGCGTTTAGCTAATTTATTTATTTGAAAAAAAAATTGATATGAATTAAAAGATCTCAAACCAACACAGGTTATCAAAACACGTTTGACAAAGGAAACAAAGTAATTATGTACCAAACAGATGTCTATGTTAATAAACGCCACATGTGGCATGTAGAAGAAACATTTTAAAATAAAATAAATTGTCTGTGCAGTACTGATTTATACAATAGAATAATTATGTACACATGTATATATAGAAATAATTATTTTAACAAACACATATAATTTTCAAAATATATAGAGGATATTGAATGAGTGTAAGTTCAATACTGAATTTATTGCATGAGTTGAATAAAATTATATTCTGCGAGCCTCTGGCGAGCATAATATTATTTTATTCAACGAGTGCAATAAATTCAATAATGAACTTACACGAATTTGATATTCTATTTATCACATACCCAAAATAAAGACCGTTTAAAGTGAAATAAGAGTTCATTTTCACTGACGCGCATATAGTATAACGCTAACATTCAGCGCGTCTTTACACTATGTTTGTATAACGCTAATGACGTCACGTCAAAATATATGCACGGCCGTGCAATACCATTTTTACGGAGTCGCAAAAATGGCACGGGTGTGTGATAAAATGCAATATGAAAATCAAAAATATGAAACAAATTAATAGAATAACACTGTGACTAAGTGTCATGACTGAATGAGATAAATTATCTAAAAATAGAAAATTTAAGAAAATGTAAAGTTTCCTTGGTAATGAAAACCAATGTTTTATCACAAATTTAAGATCCGTTGCTTGGTTACATGAAATATGGAGGTAAGAATTTGTGTAATTGTTTTATACCCAGTTCATGTTGAAATCTCAGACCAGTTACATGTTAATGTTGAATTTGTGTTGAGTTATAACACAAGGGCTGTTTCCTGTTTTATGTTGAATTTATGTTGTGTTATATATTACACAAGGGCTGTTTTATGTTGAATTTATGTTGTGTTATATATTACACAAGGACTGTTTCCTGTTTTATGTTGAATTTATGTTGAGTTATATATTACACAAGGGCTGTTTCCTGTTTTATGTTGAATTTATGTTGTGTTATATATTACACAAGGGCTGTTTTATGTTGAATTTGTGTTGTGTAATATTTTACACAAGGGCTGTTTTATGTTGAATTTGTGTTGTGTAATATTTTACACAAGGGCTGTTTAATGTTGAATTTGTGTTGTGTAATATTTTACACAAGGGCTGTTTTATGTTGAATTTGTGTTGTGTAATATTTTACACAAGGGCTGTTTTATGTTGAATTGATGCAGACTTGATACACAGTGGGTTAAGTTTTCCTATGATATGCATGGTGATAGTTTGTTTTAAGTGAGCATTCAGAGGTATTATTGGGTTTTGTATTGAATTTATGTTGAGGTTGCTTTTTACGCAAGGTGAAAATTCACTGATAGACTTAAAGAGGTATAAAATGTAGTAGTTTGATGGCATATGGTGATTTTTGTGTTTTTGAAAAAAGAAATTTAAAGAATTTTAAATGTAAAGTACATGAGTTAACAAGTGTGGGTGAAGGAATTCTTTGTCCTGTTTGATATTGTTTTTTGTCCTGTTTGAAATATTGTTTTGATCATGCAATATTGAGTAAAGATTCCAATCATGTATAAATGTGTGATTTGACTCAGATTTCAGAATCCATGAAATGTTGATTGTATACATTTTAAGATATTTTTACATTAATATTTAGAATAAATACCCGAAAACAAGTTGTTTTATGAGTAATATTTCAATATTTGTTTATCTATGATGATATGAAATTCCTATAAATTGTTTTTCTTTATCTTTTTCAGAGCAAATGTTAGACGAAGCTTTCCCCCGGCAGAACACATACAATGGTTATAGCCGTCCCCCATTGCCTCCAACATTTCAGGGCTCGGGACAGGGAACCAGCAATCAGTTCGGTAGCCTTGGCAGTCGACCTCCATCAGGTTCCTCTGGTAAAGGTCGAAGTTTAAGTGTGATGGCCTCACCAAGATCTGACGTGGTAAATATGCGTTATAGTTAGGATATTATCACACATTATATTTCATGTTGAATAGTGAAAATGTTTGATGATGAATCCAACAGTTATATGTTTGATCTTCTAGAATGGAAATTGCTAAAATATTATTTATATATAATTGTAATGTATGTGGGGGATGACATCAACCCTCTGGGCCATTGAACATTCTATAACTGGACTATTGAACATGTTACCCAGTTGGGGCCTAAAATGCAAAAACAAACAAAGAGTAAATTTATATATATTGGCTACCATTATTGGAATTTAAAAGCACCAATGTGTTTCCAGTTGAAACCATTAATTAGCATGTACCTAAATTCACACAAAGTGTATTCTAAACCTGTCTAGGTCACATTTCATGATAAAATATTGTTCAGTTTCATGTGAACCTTGAAGTAAATTTTTTTTAACCAGACATTTTTTTCCTCAGTTATTTATTCTTTTATTATATAATTTACAAGTATTACTTTTTTGTAAAATTAACTATAATAATTGACATTAAAACATTTTTTTTCCAATCATATTTATTATGAACATAAGTATCATCAAAATCTGACAAGATCACATTATTGTCATTTATATGCTATATTTCAGCTGGACTACCAGAGGAATGGTCAACTTCGTCCCATTTCTAACACAAATGGTGCTGATGAGTAAGTTGATAAAAAATTGTGTTGTTTTTATTTCAGTTGTTTGATAACAATCAATACAATGTATATACATGTTAAACATTTATGGTCTCATTTATTGTGACTTACTCCCATCTACAGTCACTTATTTTCATTCACAACCACTTGCTCCCATCCACAGTTATTTGCTTTCATACACACTTATTTGCTTTCATTCACACTTATTTGCTCCCATCCAAAGTTACTTGCTTTCATCCACAGTTATTTGCTCCCATCCACAGATATTTGCTCCCGTCAACAGATATTTGCTCCCATCCACAGTCACTTGCTCCCACCCACGTTATTTGCTCCCATCCACAGTTATTTGTTCCCACCCACGTTATTTGCTCCCATCCACAGTTATTTGTTCCCACCCACAGATACTTGCTCCAGTCCACAATCTCTTGCTCTCATCCACAGTAATTTGCTCCCATCAACAGTTATTTGCTCCCATCCACAGTTATAAGCTCTCATCAACAGTTATTTGTTCCCACCCACAGTTACTTGCTCCAGTCCACAATCTCTTGCTCCCATCCACAGTTATTTGCTCTCATTATCAGTTATTTTTCATCAACAGTAAGTTGTTCCCATCCACAGTTATTTGTTCCCACCCACAGTTATTTGTTCCCACCCACAGTCACTTGCTTCCACCCACAGTCACTTGCTCCAACCCACAGTTATTTGCTCCCATCCACAGTTATTTGTTCCCACCCACAGTTATTTGTTCCCACCCACAGTCACTTGCTTCCACCCACAGTCACTTGCTCCAACCCACAGTTATTTGTTCCCACCCACAGTTATTTGTTCCCACCCACAGTCACTTGCTTCCACCCACAGTCACTTGCTCCAACCCACAGTTATTTGCTCCCATCCACAGTTATTTGCTCCCACCCACAGTTATTTGCTCCCATCCACAGTTATTTGTTCCCATCCACAGATACTTGCTTCCACCCACAGTCACTTGCTCCAACCCACAGTTATTTGCTCCCATCCACAGTTATTTGCTCCCACCCACAGTTATTTGTTCCCATCACAGTTACTTGCTTCCACCCACAGTCACTTGCTCCAACCCACAGTTATTTGCTCCCATCTACAGTTATTTGTTCCCACCCACAGTCACTTGTTCCCACCCACAGTTATTTTGCTCCCATCCACAGTTATTTGTTCCCATCCACAGATACTTGCTTCCACCCACAGTCACTTGCTCCAACCCACAGTTATTTGCTCCCATCTACAGTTATTTGTTCCCACCCACAGTCACTTGTTCCCACCCACAGTTATTTGCTCCCATCCACAGTTATTTGTTCCCACCCACAGATACTTGCTCCAGTCCACAATCTCTTGCTCTCATCCACAGTAATTTGCTCCCATCATCAGTTATTTTTCATCAACAGTAATTTGCTCCCATCAACAGTTATTTGCTCCCATCCACAGTTATTAGCTCTCATCAACAATTTTGTGCTCCCATCAACAATTATTTGCTCCAGTCCACAATCTCTTGCTCCCGTCTACAGTTATTTGCTCCCATCATCAGTTATTTTTCATCCACAGTAAGTTGTTCCCATCTACAGTTATTTGTTCCCATCCACAGTCACTTGTTCCCACCCACAGTTATTTGCTCCCATCCACAGTTATTTGTTCTCATCCACAGTTACTTGCTCCAGTCCACAATCTCTTGCTCTCATCCACAGTTATTTGCTCCCATCATCAATTATTTGTTTTCATCCACTGTAAGTTGTTCCCATCCACAGTCACTTGCTCCCATCCACAGTCACTTGCTCCCATCATCATTTTTTTTGTTCCCATGCACAGTCAGTTGCTCCCATTCTCAGAACTCTTTCTGTTTGACACTTGCTCCCATCCAGAATCACTGAAAAAAACTCGCTGTCATTCTTTTGAATCTGGCTGGGTAGTAGAATTCTTGCATTTAACTAGTCATATTATAATTGATCTATAGAAAGTAAGTGGACATTTGGAAGGTTTGTTGTTAAACAGATGCTATACTTTGTCTGTTATTAATATGCTTTTAGATTTCAGTGGAGTTCCTTAAATTGTAAATTTATGAATTTGTAAAATCATTATAACATGCTATAGTAATAAGAAAATCCACTCTCTTATTTTCCAATTACTGTTACAGTTTTTAAAGTGAGTGTTTTTATAATGCATATTTCTGGCAAGAAATTCACAGTTTAAGTGATTGTTTTTATATTGCATATTTCAGGCAAGAAGTTCGCAGTTTAAGTGCTCAAGTTGTGAAATCAAAGGGCAAGCAGATCTACAGCAGACATATTAACCACCCTGACTCTCCCATTGGCTCATTATCAGGGTCACGACCTTCTAGCGGAAAATCATTAAATGGACAAGTTAATCCTTCTAGTGTTGGAATGAATTTATTAAATGGATTACAAACCCGAAATCAAAACTCTACTTACGGTGATCCACCTTTATTAAGAAGGGGTATGACTCAAGATGAATATAGCTCTAAAAATTTAAATCTGCATCATAATTATCAGGACCGTAGAGGTAACATGAAGACCACAACAGCTTATGAGCAGCCAATACGGTAAGACAAAAAAATTTTTTTTGATTTTAAGAATTTTTCAAACAATAATCTAAAAAGAATGGAAAAAAATATAAATGCTGAAGTACATATATAGAATATTAATTTCCTAAATGAGGTACCTCAATCAATTTATTATGTTTTTATTTTTAGCTCACCAGAGCCAAAGGCTCAGGGTGAGCTTTTAGTATCAAAGGGGGATGCTCCGGCGTCCGTCGTCATGCGTCAACAATCGTCTTCTTCTCTGAAACTACTAGACAGATTTACTTCAAATTTGGTCTGTAGCATCCTTGTGACAGTCACACTTGAATTTGCTCATGTCATTCCAATTGGCCCCCTTTAAGGAGAGCTAAAAATAGAAAAACCTTTAAACATCTTCTTCTACAGAACTAATGGATGGATGATCACCAAACTTTGTCTGTAGCATTCTTGGGTAGTGTCTTATCAAGTTTGCTCATATTAATTTGATTGGCCCCTTTTAGGGGTCAGCAGAGCTAAAAATAGAAAAACCTTTAAACATCTTCTTCTACAGAACTAATGGATGGATGATCACCAAACTTTGTCTGTAGCATTCTTGGGTAGTGTTTTATCAAGTTTGCTCATATTAATTTGATTGGCCCCTTTTAGGGGTCGCAAAAGCTAAAAATAGAAATACCTTTAAATGCCTATTTCTAGAGAAATAATTGATGGATGATCACCAAACTTTGTCTGTAGCATTCTTAGGTGGTCTTTTATCAAGTGTGCTAATATTATTTTGATTGGCCCCTTTTAGGGGTCTCTAGAACTAAAAATAGAAAAACCTTTAAACATCTTCTCCTACAGAATTAATTGATGGATGATCACCAGATTTTGTTTGTAGCATTCTTAGGTGGTCTTTTATCAAGTTTGCTAAAATTATTTTTATTGGCCCCTTTTAGGGGTCTCTAGGACTAAAAATAGAAATACCTTTAAATGTCTTATTCTACAGAACTAATGGATGGATGATCACCAAACTTTGCCTGAAGCATTGTTGGGTAGTCTTTTATCAAGTTTGCTCATATTATTTTGATTGGCCTTTTTTAGGGGCCGCTAAAATTAAAAATAGATATACATTTAAACATTTATTGCTGCAGAACTAATTGATGGATGATCACCAAACTTTGTCTGTAGCATTATTGGGTTGTCTTTTATTAAGTTTGCTCATATTAATTTGATTAGCCCCTTTTAGGGGCCGCTAAAATTAAAAATAGACATATGTTTAAACATCTTCTCCAACAGAACTAATTAATGGATAATCACCAAACTTTGTCTGTAGCATTTTTGGGTAATCTTCTATCAAGTTTGCTCATATTCATTTGATTGGCCCCTTTTAGGGGCCGCTAAAGCTAAAAATAGAAAAACCTTTAAACATCTTCTACTTCAGAACCAATTGATGGATGATCACCAAACTTTGTCTGTAGTATTCTTGGGTACTCTTTTATCAAGTTTGCTTATATTTATTTGATTGGCCCCTTTTAGGGGAAACTAAAGCTAAAAATAGAAAAAAACCTTCGAACGTCATTTCCTACTGAAATAATTGAAAGATGACCACCAAACTTTGTAGCATTCTTAGGTAGTCTTTTATCAAGTTTGCTCATATTAATTTGATTAGCTAGGTTTAAGCTAAAGCTTTAATACCCCAGGTCATTGCATTTTTTCAAATTATTGTTTAAAACAAATTTAATATTAGAATATATTGACATTCTAACACTAAAAAGCAGTTGTTTCTGGTGAGCGACTCAGGGCCATCATGGCCCTCTTGTCTAAATTTCATACCACATTTTTATCTCACCTGAGCATATGCTCAGGGTGAGCTATTAGGATCACTCTTCGTCCGTCGTCTGTCGTCCGTCGTCCGTTGTCCATTCACACTTTTCAAACGACATCTCCTCTGAAACCATAAGGCAGATCATAATGAAACTTCACAAGGATGTTCCTTGTGTGAAGTCTTAACAAAATTGTTCAAAGAATTCCATTCCATGCAGAACTCTGGTTGCCATGGCAACCAAAAGAAAAAACTTTAAACATCTTCTTCTAAAAAACCCAAAGAGCTAGAGCTTAGATATTTGGCATGAAACATCTTCTAATGAGTGTCTACCAAGTTTGTTCAAATAAAAGCCCTGGGGTCAAAATTGGCCCCGCCCCGGATTGATTTTCCCTATATGCATATAGTAAAAACTTAAAAAAATCTCTTTTAAAGAACCCAAAGAGCTAGAGCTAAGATATTTAGCATGAAAAATCTTCTAATGGGTGTCTATTAAGTTTTTTCATGGCTGTCTATTAAGTTTGTTCAAATAAAAGCCCTGGGGTCAAAATTGGCCCCGCCCCAGGGGGTCATTGATTTTCCCTATATGCATATAGTAAAAACTTAAAAAAATCTTCTTCTTAAAAACCCAAAGAGCTAGAGCTTAGATATTTGGCATGAACCATCTTCGAATGGATGTCTACCAAGTTTGTTCAAATAAAAGCCCTGGGGTCAAAATGGCCCCGCCCGGGCTGACATTGATTTTCCTTTAAATGTGTATAGCAAAAACTTAAAAGTCTTCTTTGAAAAAACCCGAATAGCTAGAGTTTAGATATTAAGCATGAAACATTTTCTTGTAAGTGTCTACAAAGATTGTTCAAATAAAAGCCCTTGGGTCAAAACTGGCCCTGCCCCAGGTGTGTCATTGTTTTTAACTATATGTGTAAAGAAAAAAACTTGACCAGCTAGACCTTAGATGTTAAGCATGAAATATCTTCTAATGGGTGTCTACCAAGTTTGTTCAAATAAAAGCCCTGGGGTTTAAACTGGCCCCGCTCCGGGGGCCTATATACAGGTGAGCGACTTCAGGGCCATCATGGCCCTCTTGTTATTTCTTATGTTGTATGTTCCTGCTAAAGTACACAAATTGGTACCTTGCATGGTTTATAAACTTCCTTGCTGGTTTGAGTTCATATTATTTTAAAGTAGTATTTTATTTTACATTGAAGAGAGGTCATATGTTTAAAGTTGGCTACCGAATTCACTTCACTTTACAGGTCTATATCAGCCAATATCTTTGTTCTACATTCATCAAGGAACTTGGTTAATATATTTTTTGATGACTACCTTTGTAAATTCAGTTGACAAAATATCTGGTGTGATTTTTTTTTTTTTAATATTGTAAGAATACAGGAATTTTTAGCAAAAAATCATACTTAAGGAATTATTTCCAATATCAAAAAATCAAAATTTACCATTTCATTCATTTGTAGTTATAATTCAAAATTCAATATTTCAGGAACCCATTTATAACCCGTGAAGATGAACCAGGAAATGCAGGCTGGCAGGCGCATCGGGATCCAGCCAACTGGACAGTACTTGACCCAACACCAAATTATCTTAGTCTAGCTAAAAGAAACTATACTCATACTCGACTATGGTGACACACAAGAACGCCATACGTTTGAAACGGTTGACATTTAGACGAAATATACACAGATTAAATAAAAAGCGCTAAAAATATCCTAGTTGACTGGAAAATTTACTTATTGATTATTAAGCATAAAGATTTCAAATTGAGCCAAGGGATAAATGAAACACAGGAATCAGTAGTAGTCAAATATTTCTGTGATATATTAATGAAGTATTTTAAAATATTGAAAAAAAATACTACAGTATAAGGAAAAAGAAGTCACATTTTAAAACAATTTTGATAATCTCATTCTTTATTTTTTTTTCAAGAAATATGATTTACTTAATTGGTCAAGAGAGATAATAATTATACTTCTTTGATACAATTGTAGGAGTTGTCTCTCTTTGTATGTTGGTGCATTCTAAAAGATTTCATGTGACACATTCCTGTAAGAAAATTCTGTAAGATTTTTTTTTAGCTCAAGCTTGCATATTTTTAATTTTCAAAGTAAATATTAGATTGTAAAATCATGGTAACTGGAGGAGTAAAGCTGGTTGCCTATCTTCTCAGTGTAATAGAGTCAATTGAATAGGATTTTTTTTTTAGCTGTGTTTTATTAAATACTTTCAAGTATGAAATTAATGTTAATTGTATTGATTGATATAACACAATAGAATGATAGGGTAATTATTATACAAGAGTACATGTATCTTGATCTGGAACTTGTATTTTACTTGAGTGAATTTTACTAGTAATAGTATAGGGTCTGACGAGGTGTTAGCAGCTAGCGTGATCTGTACCAGTTCAACACCGGAGAGTCAAAGACAACTATTACAACTCTTTATTATAAATCTTATACAATTTAATCTTCATGTTCAGCCATAACACAATTGGCATAACACCAGCAACATTTGTTAATACAGGTTTTTTTCTGTTGTGTTGTATTTTTTGTATGTGACATATTCATTAAATGAAGAAAAATATGGACATATTTATTTGGCCTTATGAAATGTTAGTGTAGAAACGTTTATTTTTGCAGAAAATGAAGAAGAAAAATAGGGACCAGTGTTAATTGAAACAAATATATATTTGGCCTAATGAATTGTAATGTAGAAATGTTTATTTTTACCTTAGTGATCACCACTGATGATTATAGATACATTTTTTGCAATTATTTATTTATTCATGTATTATTGTTACCAGATAAATTTCTTTATGTGAAAAGTGTATATGGCAGGCCAGTGCTTTAAGATTTCTGAATAGATCTGATTGATGAAATATTTCATTGATTTCATGACGGTGTGGAAAAACTTAACTGTCTTACCCCATTATATATTTTTTAGTTAAGTTGATATGAATTCACATGTTATTGTTTTTAGCCCTGCTAGAACAGAAAGTTGTTAACCTTTTGTCACCAGTATAGAGCCAGGCTAGCTTGCGCTACTGTGCAGTCTGATCAGACTGTATTCTGATTGGTAGCTCAATTTTTGTATGTTGATACTGAAATCCCTAAAACTTAGAATGGACTGTTCCAAGTTCAAAGCAGGGCAAAGAACTTTACAAAAATTGAGGGTGAAATGTCATTTTAAATTATCCCATCATAATGCACAGTAGGACATTCTGATACATTTTTATTTTGAAAATCACTGCCTTTAGAATTGTCATATTTGCAATGCCTGTCGACAGTTTGTTTCATCTTAATGAACATGTAGTTTTAAATACTGTTTTACTTATACCATGAAAAATGATGTTATTATTTTATTCTGTGATGTTATTATTTTATTCTGTGACATGTTTGATATTGTTTGGTCTGAGCAACATTGATTAATTGGTAAGTATACGGTCCGCATCTCTAACAACATTGATTAATTGGTAAATATACGGTCTGCATCTCTAACAACATTGATTAATTTGTAAATATACGGTCCGCATCTCTAGCAACATTGATTAATTTGTAAATATACGGTCCGCATCTCTAGCAACATTGATTAATTGGTAAATATACGGTCCGCATCTATGGCAGGAGATTATTTTGTTCAAATGGTACTTCACCTTCCCAGCATTCCTTCATCATTCAAATATCATTTTTAGGTTTGTTGTGTTGTTGTTGTTTTACTGGACACTATTTGTGACCTTTACTGTATCTTTGCAGTGTTTGCATTGTGTTCTTAGAAATTTGACCTTGAACTTAATCATTGCTGTGACCTTTATCATTGCTGTTGAGTCCTTTTTGACATTATTGTTATTGTTATCATTTCATTTGAAACTAATAAAATTGTTCATAATTAATGCTTACAAGTGACAATTTTAATAAATTTTAATTACCAGAAACAAAATTACAGTTAGACTGGTCATTTTACACTAATGTTAAATATTTTAGGATGTTTTACCAAGTAAAGTAGAAATAACAGTTTACTACTGCAAAAGCAAGTATTGTACATGCAATTTATGTCACTATAAAGTTTTTGGTTAGATAATAAATTTGTCTGTGATAAATTATCAAAATGAAATTGATCCATGCCATATTAAAATGGGCTATTTTTCAAGGATGAATTCTATTTTGCTGTACAATGTATAAATTAATCTATGTATCTAATGTTATTTAAAGGGATTCTACTGATGTTTTGTAACGAATGGAACTTAATTTTTCGAGATTTATGTTCTATTTCATGTAAGTTTTGACCTATAACTCTGTGAAAAGTTTCAGATCATTCGCTCACTGTTGTTGTTGGGTTTTTAGTCCCCTACCGGTTTAACCGGAGGGGACTTTAGGTTTACCCTCCGTCCGTCTGTCCGTCTGTCTGTCTGTCCGTCAGTCTGTCAGTCCGTCAGTCCGTCCACAAAACTGGATCCCGCGATAACGCAAAAAGTACTGAAAATATTTTTATGAAACTTGATATATGAATAGATGGCAGTATGGAGATTATGCACGTCTTTTTTTTTTCTTCCTATGTTGAAAATTCTGGTTGCTATGGCAACAAATAGTCTGAAAATATGGCAAATTTAAGACATAAACTGGATCCAGTGATAACTCAAAAAGTACTGAAAATATTTTTATGAAACTTGAAATATGGGTAGATGGCAGTCTTGGAATTATGCACGTCTTTTTCTTTTCTTCCTATGTTGAAAATTCTGGTTGCTATGGCAACAAATAGCCTGAATTTCAAGATTTCTGATTTAAATTTTTCAGCTTTTTCACTATATCTTTATTTCTTAAGGTGTTTACTTCAAACTTTAAATATAAGTTTCTGGTCATCAACCACATCATATGTGACAAGGTTTATAACTCTAGCACAAAAAATATCAGTATTACCTCCCTTGAACTTAGATTTTTTAGGGGAAAAAATGTTGTCTTTTTTAAATAACTTCTTTATTTCCTAATGTATCTACTTCAAACTTCATATATATGTTTCTTATTATCACTCGACATTTTTGAGAAGGTTAAATACTCTAGCAAGACTATTTCCAGAATTATGTCCCCCTTGAACTTAGATTTTTTTCGAGAAACTGGTATTTTCACTCCAACTTCTTCATTCCTTATAGGATTTACTTTAAAATCCCACATCGTAATAATATGACAAGGTTGTATAAACATAATTTCCTTACTAAGCATGGAAACTTAACACATTACTGTGATATAGACAAACTTATTTTATTATGTTTTGTGGTTGATATTTTCAAATACAGACTTCATCCTCAAATTCATTATAAATGGCAATACACAGGAGTGTATGACAATTAAAGAACTTTTTGAGGGACCGGTAGGGGACTACTGTATTGCCCGCAATACTATCAAATGCTTGTTGTTGTTGTTTTTTTTTCTTCAGAATAATCATTCTTATCATGATGACCTAAAATTAAAATGCTCTTCACACAAATTGAGCTATGAATAGCACTTAAATACAATTATCAATTTATTTTCAGAGTATATTTCTAAACAATTCTGTGTCCCACTTGTTCTGTGTAAAAATTCCAATGTTATGTTTTTTATGCTTTCGGACCTCAGTGGAGTTCCTTTAATATCGGTACTGTTCAAAATTTAAGATATTGTCCAAACAAGATAAAATTCTCTTTACACTAACAATAGTCAGTAGAATATATTTGGGAAAACATTTGTTTTGACTTGAACAATTTCATAGTTTGGAGTTATGTGTAGTTATTCATATGGATGTGTTTTGATAAAATATGTGTTGTGATATATTCCTAAAACACATGTGTAATCCTGAAAAAATAGGCATCAAACTGTATGTCATATAAATATAGGAAAATATTCATACAGGGCTATATGGACAGGCTTTTAAATGAAAAATTGTAAGAATTATTTATATGATAAGCTTTAATGTTTTGACAAGGTTCTATTTTTACATGTTTAGAGATATGTATTTCACAAGATATGTATTTCATATGTTTCGAGCATGTTTTGTAGTATTATGATGTTGACCACTTGTTATTTATTTATATTTTTTTTTGTATAATGTACACATATTTACAGTTGCACAAGTTAAGACACTGATGAAATATAATATTATAAATATCTGTTGATCAGTATTGTTTAAACAATTATAAGCACACTGTAGTATTTCGTACAACTAATTTACCTCACAGATTGGTCTTGTTTTGACAGACATCATGGGGTCTTGCATAAATTCGGTTAGAAAAATATACAAATCGTAAAATCTTACAGAACTTACAATTTTTTTCAAAGAATATCTGGATTTTCTGCAGAAATTTTGAAATTTGTGATATCTGGATCCCAAAGTAATATAATACATGTACCTACTAGTTTTATATCAAATATTTTTAGTTGTTGAAGGTTGTTGTCTGTGATATTGATACTATTGTACCAATATTGTACTCAACTGTTAACCAGTGTTAGAATAATGTCTATATGCTAGATATATAGATTAAAAATAAGACATATTTATATGTGTTATGTAAAAGTTAACAAACATGAGCTCAATTGGTAATCACAATAATAATAGCTTCATATAACAAAGTTCACAACCGATTCTTTCCTTCTTCATCCATCAAGCTAGGCATATCTAGGTCATTTCTCGGTCATTTAGTACGGAAATTTCAAAGGTTTTTCATGTAAAATGTATGTATATATGTTTTTCTGTGGTGTTATCACCAAGCCTCAGTACCTTTCTGTGTCAAGGTCATCTTTAAAGGTCAGAGGTAAAAAAACAGAGTTTATTTTTAACACATGTAATGTAAATTTTAGCTGTTTTTGTTTGGACATTATTGTTATCATGCAATTGTGTATTGATATAATGTACAACAGTATGTCGCGGTACAGGTCTGATCATTTATAACAGAGAAAATATGAAGTCGGAGGAATTAATTAAATTGTAGTTCAATCTTTTTATATTTCTGAACAGGGTCTTTCTTTTAAATTAATTCCATGTGAAAATGTAGAAATACCGGCAAACAAACATTCCAGTTAATACTGTTGTCTAAACTTTGACAGTATTCCTAAAGTTAAAGCAAAATAAAGTTCAGATAGGTGAAGGTTAACCCCTAAATTTGTTGGAATCTTTTAAATGGACTTGTCCAGTTTCCATTTCTTAGGCTGCCCATAATCAATTGTGGGGAGATCAAGATGCAATTTCACCAATTAAGGATTTAAACTTAGATCATGAAATAAAATGGAATGAATTCGCAAACATCGCAAACAAACTGGAAACAAAAAATATATAAAATAACCTAACATACATATTTGATTACAATTTAAAATCCAATGTAAATTTTTCTTCATTATAGCATTACTGG